ACAAAGAGTGTGAATTCCATTCCCTTGTTAAGGCACTGGAGAACTTTCAAAGGGAAATTAACAGGATAACTGACATCCATTAAAAAACATGGCACATGGAACTAGAATAGTCTACCCCAGTGAACAAAATAAAGGGTTCCGTTTGACATTCTAACCACCTGAAGAAGGCTGGAGTGTACAACAGCCAAAACATTGTAATAAATATGGTGACAAAGATGAGGACAAAAGTCCGAATAATGTAAATTATACCTCATCTCAAAAATAAAGACGGATATATATATAATAAATAATAATTTATAATTTGAACAGCAAACCAAGTTTTATATTAGTTTCGTTAAAGTTGACGAACAAGATACTACAATGAAACCTTTTTATTTAATTTTTCTTCTGTTCATCAAAGCCACAATGTGCTGGCTTTGTTAGGGAAATAAAACATCCCAGTAACTCGAGACACATTCATAAAAAAACAAAATTTCACTTAATAATAAAAAAAATGAATCTTATAATGGCTAAGAGAATAATTAAAAGTATTTAGATATGCAGAACATTTGGACAATTTTTATGCACTTTACAAGTCCAGGAAACAAAGAAATTATATGAACACAAGAAAAATTAAATAAAAAATTTAATCACCATACCTTGTCAGTCACCTTTAATACACACACACACACACACACACACACACACACACACACACACACACACACACACACATATATATATATATATATATATATATAATATAAATAGTTATACATGTTTGGAAAAGCCTTAGGTATTTTGGCTTGTAATTGAACAAACCAATGCCCAAGGGAAAATAAGGAATAAAAAAAGAAAGAACTTAGAACATGAAATTGAGACAAAAACAGTCGTCCAGAATCCAAGCTCAGAGTCCAAAGAAAAAAACCTCCAAAATGAGTAAAGCAAAAGTAACTACATAAAATGCTCAATTCACTAAGTAGAGCAAACCTAAATATGAACCTAAAGAGCCAGGTAAACCTACCTAGGTTTCACCTATTTGGATCATCAGGGTTAATCCTGACATTCCGTATAGGTGAAACCTAGGTAGGTTTACCTGGCTCTTTAGGTTCATATATATATATATATATATATATATATATATATATATATATATATATTCTGTCTTAACTCCTGACCACTGACAATTTCTTTTTTAATGTTCTACTTCCAGACTGAGTGCTTATATTTGCTCAAACAAATTGTAAATATAACGTTGAAAATGTTGGTATCTAATCATAAAGACTTTTACTCTGTAACCAGAAATGAAAAAAAGTGAAAAAAAATTAAGTAGAAAATTAACAAAAAAAAAAAAGAAACTAGTTTGAATTTTAGCATTGAAGAATTTACTTACCACGTACACTGGCTGTTCGAGTAGAATTATAAAGAATAGCAAGTTCTCCAAACACCTTGCCAGGCCCCATGGCACACAGTTTTTGTCCTTCTTTCGTAACTTCCACTTTTCCTTCTGAAAAATAAAAAATAATACATTTTAGATTAACAAAAAAGAAATTGACACCATTTTCTCCAGTAAATCATTTAGAATAAGTCTTTATACATAATTCTCTGTTATTCTCTGTGTTCAGTTCTGCCAAACAAGCAAATTTTCAGGCTGAGTAAGATTAGTAATTTGAGGCAAATTGGTTATAGGCTATTGTATTTGATAATAGTCAAGCAAGAATATGGCAATCATACCTACAATGAATCACTCAATTGTTCTGTCAATAATTCATTGGCCTCAGGGAAATTGACATTTTTAGTCATCTACATAACTTTTCCACAAATTAATAAACCAGCAATATGGTCTAGATATGGAATGACCAAAGAAAAAGTTGGGAGATTTGAGTTACATGTGGGACATAGATAAAGTAGGGAGATTGGAGATAGATGTTGGATATGAATAAAGTAGGGAGATTGAAGATACATGTAGGGAGATTGGGCATACATGCAGGACATGGATAAAGTAGGGAGAAAGGAGTTACATGTGGGACATGGTTAAATAGGGAGATTGGAGTTACATGTGGGACATGGTTAAATAGGGAGATAGGAGTTACATGTGGGACATGGTTAAATAGGGAGATGGGAGATACATGTGGGACATGGATAAAGTTAAAACTTAACAAGAAACAAAAAATCAATAAATAAATTACAATCTATAATAGTAAGACTTGAAACTGCAAAGATAAGCCATGCTGTCAAAATGCTTTTTAAAGCCTCTTTCCTCATCTTGTGTCCACCACAAAATTGATCTCTCTCTCTCTCTCTCTCTCTCTCTCTCTCTCTCTCTCTCTCTCACTGATTATAATTATATATTTCCTAGTTGCTTCTATTTTCCTTAGAACTTCCATATTGCATACGTGTTCTGTCTATGGAATTGTTTGCATTTATAGAACCTTATCTCTATCATTCAAGTCTTACTTCTTCATCTGTGATGAAATCTTCAAACATTCACTGCTTCATAAGAGATTAGTTGTTGCATAACAATTTAGCACCTTTTTTCCGAATTTCTAACAATATTTTTTTAATATTTTAATATATTGTTTATCCGCTGGAGAAGGAAATTCTTACTGCCAGTGTTCTACAAAGTGTGGCACAATCAAGCTATGCATGATTAGTTTCAGAGCAAAAGAGAGATAGAAAGCAAGAGAGAAAGAGAGGATGGATGTGCAGGTTGTAGAAGGGGTATCGGCAAGCAAAGTGGAATCTGTAAGTTTCTAGTAAATTCAGTTGCATTCACTTTGCACAAATGCTCTTTGAAAAGGCAAAAGTCCATCATCCTCCAGCTATGGATTAAATATCAGAGTAGAGTATATGATTTCAAGTTCAATTTAGGATTAATCAAAGCCATTTTGTGACTATGCAAGTTCATAAAGAAATAGTCAAATTCAAAATGAAACATAGAAAATTCAAAATGGGATGAAGCAAATTCAACATGGAATAGTCAAATTGAAATTGGGATACAGCAACTTCAAAATGGAATAGTCAAATTGAACTTGGGACATAGCAAATTCAAAATGGAATAGTCAAATTGAAATTGGGACATAACAAATTGAAAATGGAATAGTCAAATTCAAAATAGAATAAGCAAATTTGATTTGGGACTTAGCATGTTCAAAATGGATTAGGTAAATTCAATTTGGGACTGAGCAATTATTTTGCTAAAAAAGATTTTAAAATTAAATATTTTCATGATAAAATAATAATGTTCAACTAAACATTACTATTGAAATGTTTTATCTTCGCTAAATTTGACACAAATTTATCTGTTCAAGTATAGCCGATTGTAAGGAATTGATAGCAAAATCTACACAATGCTCCGATTTTTAATTATCTGATTTACTGCCCAGTTTATTTTTTAATCCATGTTATTTGTTTATTGAAACACACAGATCAGTTCAAAAGATTTTTCTATAATGAATCTGCTTAGTCCCAATTCAAACGCAATTCATTATGAATTTGCTTTGTTTCAAATCAAACTTGGCTATTTCATTTTGAATTTGCTACGTCTCATTCTGAACTTGGCTATTTCATTTTAAATTTGCTACGTCCCATTTTGAACATGTCTATTTCCTTTTGAATTTGCTACGTCCCATTCTGAACTTGTCTATTTCTTTTTCAACTTGCTGCGTCCCATTCTGAACTTGGCTATTTCATTTTGAATTTGCTATGTCCCATTCTGAACTTGGCTATTTCATTTTGAATTTGCTACGTCCCATTCTGAACTTGGCTATTTCATTTTGAATTTGCTATGTCCCATTCTGAACTTCACTATTTCATTATGAAATTGCTTGCTTAGTTCCAAAATGACTTTAATTAGTCCCAAATTGAACTTGAAATGGTATAGATTATCTTGTAATGGTAATCAGCTGGTCTAAGACAAGGAAAACTGAATTCAAACCATGTCTTTCTGATGGGTGTGTGTCATGTTTAAGCACATTTACTTTCTGAAAAGTTTAAACTCCCTGAAAATAAACCATGAGAAGCTCTGTTAGGAAATTTCATGGCACCATTTCTTTGTTATCAGTTTTTTCAAAAAGTGAGGTGAGTTCTACATAAGCCTTTACTAATAAAATAAAATCAACTATGTGAATATTCACATGGTTCACATAAAATGAAACTGCTTTCTTTTAATTCTCTGACAAAACCACTTTTCATGGCTGATGCTAACCTCCAGAAGAGCAACTCACTGCATTTTCTCATATTGTCTACTGACATGAAGTTGAATACTTATATTGAATCAATTGCTAGATCTACTGCTAGGAAAGTTGATTTACAATGTTTATTATGCTCACAGTTTCTTCTCCTGTACATCTTGCTTTGTGGAATTCTCTTCTAGGTTCTTACTTTCCTTTCAACTAAGATCATCAAAACGTTAAATGTAACATTACTCGTCGTCTTCTGTCAACTTGATTCTTGTTCTTTTATTCTCCTCTTTTTTCATTCTCATTAACCTCTTGCATCATAATAGATTTTATTATCCTGCTTGGAGCAAAATGATTAAAACAAATATATACTATTGGTCCCACATACATTGTATTCAACAAGACAGTTCATGATGTATATATATATATATATATATATATATATATATATATATATATATGTATATATATGTGTGTGTGTGTGTGTGTGTGGTATCATCTCATACCCTATATATTTTCACCCTAAAATATATAGAAAAACTAAAAGAATATCATTTTGGAATAAAAAAAAGTTTCTCATAAATTGAAATAAATACAAATTTTTAAAGTGCATGGTAATGCAAATGATAATATGCCACTTACCTTCCATGACATATACAAGGGAACCAATATCTCCTTCTTTAATGATGAGGCTATTCTCAGCATATTCAACTGGATACATGCAGTCGACAATTTCCCTGATTTGAGACATGTCCAATTTGCGCATGAAGTCATTGTCAAGGATTGCACGTTTGATTAATTCTTTTGAACTGAAAAGAAGATTAAAACGTGTCTAATCAATCATGTAAATAGAAGTAAATAATATGCAAATAAGAGAATAAAAGAAAGTAAATAATATGTGGAATAAGAGAATAGAAGAAAGTAAATAATGTGGAATAAGAGAATAAAAGAAAATAAATAATGTGCAGAATAAGAGAATAAAAGAAAATAAATAATATGCAGAATAAGAGAATAGAAGAAAGTAAATAAAATGTGGAATAAGAGAATAAAAGAAAGTAAATAATATGCGGAATAAGAGAATAAAAGAAAGTGAATAATATGCAGAATAAGAGAATAAAAGAAAGTAAATAATGTGCAGAATAAGAGAATAAGAGAAAGTAAAAAAATATGTGGAATAAGAGAATAAAAGAAAGTAAATAAAGAAAGAATAATAACTACATAATGAAATGGAATGGAATAAATTAAAAACAATGAAGAAACAAGAGTGAAAGACTGTAAAGAATAAATAGAATGAGAGAATAAAATAGAAAGAAATTGAAGGATGAAAATGTGAAAGAAAAAATGAAAGAATAACATGACTAAAACAGGAAATTATAAAAGAATGAAAAAATAAAAGGGAATATAGAAAAGAATGTAACAATAAAATAATTTGAAAAATTCAGATATTAAACAAAAAGCAAACAAAAACTAAAATAGTTTATTTGCTCCCAACTGAGAATTGACAGGAATTTTCATTTTCCAGTCACCTACGAGTGAAGAAAATTTCTCTTAGAATTTGAAAAATGTTTTATTTTCCTTTTTCATTAATATTCCTTTTATATTACTCCCTATGTTATCCAATATAGAGTGTAATATATCATTTTTCAAAGAAAATTATGTATAAAGAATTTAATAAAACCCAAGGTGAAATATAGGAAATGTTTGTCTACATGAAAATTATTGGTATGAAACACTTCACTGGTTTGTTGCTAGAAAGATGTAACCCTTAAACTCACCAAATAATATTATATATATTTATTCAAGTAAATTGTAGTTCACTTTGTGAGTAAAACTCTTTGGAGAGGCATGAATTTTTTCTCCCTGCTATGGAGTAAATAGTGCGACAGACTCTTTGGAAGTTAATCAGTCTATGAGAAGGAAAACTCTGAATTCAAGTCCCTATAAATAATAGGACAATCCTGGTTGCTTAGCCATGGTAGAGGAGAAATTCAAACCCAACCTGAAGAGGGATATCAGTCTATATATCTGAGATGAGGTATTGTAATAATATACACTATTTACATTGTTTGGACTGTTGTCTTCATCTTTATTTTCATTTTCACATGTTGGCCATTGTATGCTCTGGCCTTCATCATGTCATCCAAGTAAGACCCCCTCCCCCCAGATGAGAATATGACTAATAACTGTGTGTACACCGTACCATGCAGCTGTGGTAAGAAATATAAAGGAGAAACAGGCTGCTCCCTTAAGGTAACACTACAAGAACATTGTAAAGCCATATGAGAGGAAACAGAAAAATCAGGCCTGGCTGACCATATATGGAGGAAAAACATGATCACTGTCCCTGTTGGGTGAGGTTGAAATGATAGACAGAGAACATTATTGGAAAATGTGAAAACTTAAGGCCACAAAAATCTCCTGAGCCAACCAAGCATAGAAATGAATACAATATGGGAACCTGTGATACAGAATGCTAGAGAAAAGCAATAATTACAACAAAATTGCAATATGAGCTCTAGTAAAAAATGATTAGGAGACATTAAATTTATAAGTCCCAAAAATTCAGTCACTGAAGCCATCAAGTAGATAAAAGCATTGATTGCATCTAGTGACTTGGCCAAAGAGTTAAGTTAAAAAAGATAACTGCGACATCCAGAAGAGGCATGGCATGAGGAACTAGAACAATCTACCCTGGTGTAAATCATTGAATAGGGATGTACACTATTAGGCTATTTGTCCAAGACACACCCACACCACTGCTCCTAATGAGCAGCTTTTGGAGAGCAATGATTGTCTATATCCTGAAGAAGAATGAAAGTACTACTCATTGTGCAGTAAATCTTTATCCACTCACTACCCAAGGCCAGAGGATTATCCTTTAGACTAATATTGGCTGCAGCCTAGGGCCCAGGACTGGATTATCCTTTATGCTAGTAAAGGCTAGGGTCTTTTATAAAACAAAAATTTTAATTTTCTAAATGTTATAACTTGCAAATGGTTTCACAAACTGAAATGATATCAATATGACAAACGCACATTTACTTGACTTTGCAAGAAGCAAAGCAAAGAAAAGAATGTTTTAGTTTGTACCATTGTGTTTGAAGTAGATAAAAAATATTAAAGATTAAAGAGTGTAGGTGAGTTAGAAGCTGGCTCCAGATGTGAGGATGGGGAATAATTTCATTAGCCTAGGGTCCCCAAAATGTCATAATCTGGTACTAACATTAAAAAATCATAATAAAAATCCTTTTGAATACTCCCAAATCACAAAGAATTTACTCCACAGATTCCTTCTAAATTGAAATTTTGTATGCTATTATGGATCTAGATATAATTTCTTGTTTTACATCAGCACTGAAATTTTTGTCTAAAAACTACATTTTTCTCTGTTGACAACAGAAGGGAAAAGTGATTAAATGCTGACATAAATTCTTGTGGTAAATTTTTTCAAAATTACCTGCCCTTGATTCAGATAGGTGCCATAAGGTGTTTAAAAATAGGAAATGGTGTTCCCATAGCAGAAAAAATTATCAGGGGATCTTGAGTATAAATTAAAAGTCATGAAAAAATTCAGTCTCTTTCTGACACCACCCCCAGTGGGATACAGCCCAGAGGAGTCTTTGCTGATAAGCAGCAAAGAAACATACATATGCCCCACACATTTAAAAAGGCCACAAGCTGCTGAGAACACGTGAGTCTTATAAAAGCCAATTATTTAAATATTCTTAAATGTAGATAACTCTGTCAGTAACTCTAAAAATAGAGAATGACATAGTAAAAGATTTTAATTTTTCATCTTTGCTATTTTCTTGCATTCATCCAGAATTTTTATCCTTTTTCATTAAAGATCATAAATTTATTCTGAGAAAACATATCAACTGATACACTATTTACATTATTACATTGTCCTCATCTTTGTCACCATATTTATTACAACATTTTGGCCGTTGTACACTCTGGCCTTCTTCAGGTGGTTAGAATGTTGAACTGAACCCTTTATTTAGCTCACTGTGGTAGTCTGTTCTAGTTCCACATGCCATGTCTAATGGAAGTCAGTTATCTCCTGTTAATTCCCTTCTGAAAGTTCACCACTGCCTTAACCAAGTATTGAACGCATACACTTTGGGTCCTGTCATTGGATCTAACTAACACCTTTATCCACTGTGCCATGTGTCCTTGTGGAGAACTTGGAGAGAGGAATTAACAGGAGATAACTGATAACTGACATCCATTAAACATGGCACGTGGAACTAGAACAGTCTACCCCAGTGAGCGAAATAAAGGGTTCAGTTCGACATTCCAACCACCTGAAGACGGACGGAGTGTACAACAGCCGAAACGTTGTAATAAATATGGCAACAAAGACGAGGACAATAGTCTGAATAATGTAAATAGTGTACATAATACCTAATCTCAGAAATATAGACAGATATCAACTGATATTTGTAAATGTTTCATTTACCCATGAACAATTATTATTTATTTAAGTTTCAAAGTCCTCTTTTAAAGAATGCATACATTTTCACTTTTCTTTAAATAAATTTTATTTTTTCACTTTTTTCCAGTATCAATGTCTTGTTCATTCCATTTTGGTGAATATGCTTATTCAGACATACTGACACCATGTGTTTGGTAACCTTGACATGGTCGATCCCTGTTTTTAACTTCTACTTCTGCTGCAAGATAATGGCCTTTATTTTCCTGAAACAAGTTGCAAACATAGTTTTTTTTTTTCTAAAGCTTGTAAAAGATATATGAGAATTGATTGTTAAAAGCAATAAACAAGCCAAGAATATTTCAAATACACTTTTAAGATTTCACTAACATTGATCAAGAGAAGGTTCTGGGAATTTTAAACTGCAAAATTCTAACTACAAAGTATTTTTTTCACATATAAGGAGGAATTTTATTGGCAGGAGTTATTGGAGGACAAGGGAAATGACACTGAGACATAAGCATTTTAATACAATAATGATTTTGTAAATGATGACGTAAAGTGTGACACAGAAATGTGATATATATATATATATATATATATATATATATATATATATATATATATATATATATATATATATATATATATATATATATATATATATATATATATATATATATATATATATATAAAATTAATACATATAAAATTAATGAACAAAAAATACGAAATCACCACATGTGGGGAATAGTCTATTATGACATGAAAATATTGACTGTGTGTCTTATCAAACCCAGTGTGGACTGGGTTTATGTCAAAAATAGAAATTTAACTGTGAAATCTAAAAATAAACACACCAGTCAAAATACTAATACAGAATTTATTCATTTCAATGCTTCAATCAAATGAAACGCATGAGACAGGGGGGCAGTGGTGACTGGAGCCTATTTATCTTAAAGGGAAGAAGTTTTATAACAGCCAAATATTAACCCCATGACATTAATTTGGGGTTATATGAAGAATGAAATATTAATTTAAAATTAAAAGAGGAATAAAAAAGGGTTTAAAAATAACTTTAAAATATATAGATAAAAGGATGTAATGGACTAATATAAAGAGAGTTGGGCGGGGAGATCTTAGAGGAGGGGAAAGTTTATAATTTATAAATAATATAGTGTAAAGAGGTTATAAGGGGGGGGATATAGAAATTAGAATTAGTTATACTTTCAACATTTGATGAGTTAGTGGGGAGTGAATATTATGGAAATATAGTAGCTAATTAAATTAGACCTATATTATGGAAATTTCAATTTGTTTTTATTTGATCTGTATAAATAAATACATTGAGTTCTTCTTTTGGATCAGTTTTAATACTTTATATTACAGGGATCCACTTGGATCATTACTAACTGAGTTGTTACCTTTACACGCTCTCTCTCTTTATCTATATATATATATACATATATATATATATATATATATATATATATATATATATATATATGTATGTATATATTAGGTTGATTCTAAAGATTGTATCTTCATGTTTTATCATTAATTTGATACAACTTGTCCAACTGATGCTGAATTGCTTATTCTTTATTTTCATTTATAACATAAAAACATTAATTGTTTATTCTTTATTTTTAAGGCTTTGATAATGAGTGTTGAACAAAATTGCAATTAGAGCCATTTTTACACTACCTAGAAAAATAGACTGAGTGCATGGGCAGTGACAAAAGAAATTAACGATGTGAAATCCCAGGATCTGTAAACAAATGCAGGGCACAAAACTGGTTCTGACATTTCAGGGAAAGTGACACCAACCTCAAAGACAAATCAAGATCATGAAGACCTTCTGTTGTGGAAGATGAGGTCTAGCTTGAAATGTTTGAACAACAGTCATGTACAAATATTC